AAAAAATCAAGGACATGACTGTTCAGTGCTTTTTTTTTTTTTTTTTTGAAGTGTTATATAGTATCTGTTATTTCTTCTTCATTACAATGGATCCCATTATCTGAACTTCTTTGCCTCCTATTTCCTGCTCAAAACTCCTCCTCTCTGGGGATGTCTTTAGCTTTCACGGTGGTTTTGATTCTTTGCTCCTTCTTCTCAGTGAACTACGGGGTGCTACTTTCGGCTTCATTTTCTCCTATTTCTCCTATTTCTTCTTTTCAAGTGCAATTCCTCATAATTGTTTGATTCTTTTTGTAATTCTTCTCACTGCTTTCAAGAATACTTTCAAAAGTTGTCTTAATGCTTTAGCAGACGTGCCAAATAAGGCAGAGGGAAGCCCAATGATACAGCATCATTGGGAATAAAAAAGACTAATAAAAATGTCCCTGATTTTAGGGAAACTCACTTCCCAGAGAAGGTTTTCTACCACCCTTTGCTGCTCGGGTCACTTTTTGCTGCACAAATTCACACACATGGTGTGATCCAACAAGCCGTTCTAATAACTCTCGTGTTCCATACTAGATGGCTGGGAGGTGCAAAAAGTACAAGGTTAGAAGAGACAGGTTTTATCACACCACAGTTTTGGCTCAAGCGATGGATGATGCCTCCCCTCAGAGCAAACAACATTTCTAATCACTACTACTTACCAGATGACTTTCTATACTGAAAATGAACATAAAATTTGGAAAAGTGCCTCACAAGCTTACCTCTTACTCTGAGGTTTACAGGCAGCAACCTTTAGACTGAGATTTTTATGTTACAAGATCGAACCCCAGCTCTTCCACAGACCAATGAAACTGCAGCCAGTCCTTGTGATCTCCCTGGGTCCCAGTTTCCCCATCAACAGTAGGACTTCGGTAATAAAGTCTGATCTTCTAGCAGTGGGAAGGCAAAGTGTTCAAAGCACCAGAAGTTTTATACGCTGTTTTCCAGAACCGTTTCCCATTAATTTGTGTTTCTCATTACTTTGTGTAACACGAATACTCTCTAGAATGATGCATGAATGAAGTACATTGAAGCTGCAAAACCTTAAGTGGCAGTATCAGAAAAGACAGAGCTTCTGGACTTGGAAATGGTATATCCAGCTTCTGAAAGTTCACAAGGTTTCCAAAACTTTCCCATTTTCTATCAGAATGAAGCTAAATCTTTTAAAACTGTATTCCTGGAGAATTAATGAGAAAGGAGACCAGGGGTTTATAAGTCAGTAATACATAATTAGCAATGCACAGTGGAGGAGATGCACTGAGAGCTGGAAAGCATCTTACTGCTAGTAGGTTTGTGCTCCAGGATGTCCTCTACATTCTGGCAAAAGGAGGTTCAAGTTCCTGGTGTGAACAGAGTCCCCTCGGTAGGGTGGTATTGGTTAACAGCTTTTTCCCTATCTCAGTCATGAAATAATCTGCCTTTTGTGGAGTTTGCATTTCATTTTGATCAGAAACATTACAACTGTCAAACCACTCCATCTACTCCTAAAAGCCACATCCACTTTGATGAGATGAGGTTTTCCATTAAAAAAAAAAAAAAATCATTTGAAAAAGCCACAACTAACTCTCATCTACAATAACAATAACCTCATAACGTGTTACCAGAACTCAGCTTCCTGCTTTCACAGGATCACAGATTGTTTGAGGTTGGAAGGAACCTCTAGAGGTCATCTCATCCAACCCCTCTGCTCAAGCAGAGCCACCTAGAGCTGGTTGCTCAGGAGAATGTCCAGATGGCTTTTGGATAGCGTTGGAAACCTCCAAGGATGGAGACTCTACAACCTCTCTGGGCAACCTGCTGCAGTGCTTGGTCACCCTCACAGCAAAAAAGGGTTTCCTTATGCTCAGATGGAGCCACTTGTGTTTCAGTTTGGCCATGGTTAGAAAATGCAAAGGCAATTAGAAACTCTCATTACTTCAGAAGCACACTTGTGAATGGGAGCCTTGTGCGTAAGAGAAGTCCTCTTCTGGGTGCTGTCACAAGCATAGGACAAAATCCCTAGTTGCCATTTCAGGGGTGCACAGCCACTGCAGAAGCACCAAGACTATGCTCCCATGAGGCTTGGAATACTGTTTATGAGATGTTGCTACTGACGCTGCAGTGATATACTGCTCTCCAGCTCATCCACAGTGACTCTGCATGTGGCAAAGAGGAGGTAACCGGGCCAAACTGTTTTCATTGTCGTGCAAATTATCCCTCCATGGCTGCCAAAGGTGTACATCATGCACGTTGGGAGCTACCCTGGCTCGGCAGATGCACAATAATTGCTAAGATGCAATAACTCGACTGCGTATCTGAGTCCTGAGCAAAGCACCCCAGGGAGACAATTAGAGGAATCTCAGCACCCCAGCTCTTTCACTGCTGTCTTCTCTCTTTGCAGATATCAGGACAAAGGAGTTTAAAGATGAGGTTTTAAAGAGAACAAGGTGATGACCTTTTCAGAAGGCTCCCTGCCAGGTAGGAGGGGATGAATGTACAAAGGGAGCAAAATAACAGTGGAGAAATGAAAAAAAAAAAAAAAGTTAGTTCTCCAGACCCAACAAATATAATGTGCAGAGGTAATCCTTATACAAGCTGAAGGAACTATAGCTACTGCTGGAGAGCCAGGGTGGGAAACTAAGCAGTCAGCTTTCCAGAAGTATGCTGTGCTCTAAAAGCCACTGCTTACAGAAGGAAATGACAAGTGCAAATATGAGGTCAGACCTTTGGCTTGTTTATATCATTGTTTCTGACAGTCAAGGCATAAAACACTATTGAGAGGCAAGGGGTGAAGCTGCAGGCCTGAATAACCAGTTTTCGGCAAGTTTTACTGCAACGGTGCCTTAAAGGCTCACGTGTAGCACGACAGACCACGACTGTTTAATCAAACCCCCCCATTTCTTGGTCCAGCCCAACATATGAGCTCTAACTCTTTGCAGATATATTGACCACAGAATTGCTATTGTCTTAGTGGCTTCAGGTCAAGCCCCAGCGAGATCAGCAGGGTCTCTCCCAAGATCAATACCAGCTCATCTGCAGCACGCTAAACCCTACCCAACCGCAAAGTTAAGCAGACGGGATGGGCCACCCAAGTCAATGTGAACTGGTGTATATATAATATATGTAAGTATAATAAAGCACGGCTCTTCCTCATGCATTACCTCTGCCTGCATT